CCCCCTCCTACAGCCCTGTGTACACTATCCCCCATCACTGACTGTACCCACCCACTTAATTCCCCTCCCACAGCCCTGTTCCCTCACAGGTTGACAGTGGAAAGGCAATGACAAGCATTTAAAGAGTGCATCGAGAATCTGCAACAACCATTCATTCCTGCCTGGTACAAAAATAACATTGGAAAGGCGGCCTGACTGTAGCAATCAAGGGAAAATAGGGATAATATTTAATCAAAGGAAGCACATGAATTGGTCTGAAAGAGCAGCAGACCTGGGGATGGGGAGCAGATTAAACTGCAGCAAAGGAGGATGAAGTGAGATATTAGTAAAGGGAGAGTATGAGAGTAAGCTTATGGAAACATAAGAACTGATTGTAAAAGCTTTTACAAGTATGTGAAGAGAGATAGATTGGTGAAGACAAATGTTGGTCCCTTACAGTCAGAAACAGGGGAACAAAGGGATGACTGACCAATTAAAGCCATATTTTGATTCTGTGTTCAAAAAGGGAGAACACAAATAAAGTCCCAAAAATGTTGGGGAAACAGGGTCTTGTCAGAAAGAGAAACTGAAGGGAAACACTATTAGTAGGGGAATGGTGTTGGGAAATTGATGGGATTGAAGGCTGATAAATCCCCAAGGCCTAGAAATCTACATCCCAGGGTACTCAAGGAAGTGGCTCTAGAAAAAGTGGATGCTTTGGTGGTTATCTTTCAAGATTCTTTAGACTCTGGAACAGATTGTGGGTTGCTAATGTAAACCCACCTTTCAAAATGGGAGACAAAGAAAAAATAAAAAATTACTGACCAGTGAGACTGATGTTGGGAGTGAGGAAAATGCTCAAGTCCATTATAAAATATTAAAAAGTAGGATTTTTGGAAAACAGTGGCAGGATTGGACAGAATTGACATGGATTTACAGAAGGGAAATCATCCTTGACAAATCTTTGAGGATGCAATTAGTAGAGGTGATAAGGTGGAGCCAGTGGATGTGGTCTATTTGGCCTTTCAGAAGGCTTTCAGCAATGTCCCACATAAGAGATTAATGTGTCAAATTAAAGTGCTTAGGATTGGGAGTAGAGTACTGAGATGGATAGAGAACTGGTTGGCAGACAGGAAACAAAGAGCAGGAATAAACGGGTGTTTTACCAAGTGGCAGGCAGTGACTAGTGGGACACTGCAGGGATCAGTGCTTGGACTCCAGCTATTCTCAATATATTTTAATGATTAGATGAGGGAACTAAACGTAATCTGTCCAAATTTGTAGATGACACAAAACTGGATGGGAGGGTGAGCTGTGAGGAGGATGCAAAGATGCTTCAGTGTGACTTGGACAGGCAGAGTGAGTGGCCAATGCATGGCAGATGTAGTCTAATATGGATAAATGTGAGGTTATCCAGGAAGGCAGATGATTATCTGAATGGTGATAGATTGGAAAAAGGGGAGGTGCAACGAGACCTGGGTATTCTTGTACACCAGTTGCTGAAGGTAAGCATTTAGGTGCAGCAGACGGTGAAGAAAGCAAAAGGTATGTTCATCTCCATAGAAAGCAAGAGAGAGAGATTTACTGACAGCAAGAGACAGTGCAGAGCAACAGAAAAACAGAGTTGGAGATGGACTCAGAGACACAAAGACAGAGAGAGAGTATGTGCCAAGACTGGGGCAGACCCAGACTGCTGACTGATATTCTTACCTTGATGAGGAGTTTTTGCTTCCTCTGGGCACTCTGTAGCTTCCTGTCTATTGTTAGCTCTGCCCTCAGAAGGTTGATGGGCATTGTGTTGAAATGAGCCTTCATCTGCTCCCCAGTGACCATCAGCCTTATGCTGTCCAGCGGCCCAAGCAGGACTGAGGGCCGTGGGATAGAGCACAATGGCTTAGAGATCAGATGCTGCGTGCTGTGACAGGGTCCAGTCTCTGCGTCTCCCGAACCTGTCAGGAGCAAGGGAAGAAAGTGCTACAGTTTCTATAACATCCATTTAATCCTCAGGACATCCCAAAGCAATTGACATCTGAAGATGTCTATTCAGTGGAGTCAGGGTCAGGGTGCAGGACACTTTCAGTTTTGGGTGCACCTACACTCGAGGGATGCAGAGGACCTCCAAGACATTTCGAAAGGGAGGGATAATTGCTGGCTTAGTCAGTGGTACCCACAACTCAGGAAAGAATCAAAAATGTTAAAAATACATTTAAACACAGCAGCCAATTTGAGTCCAGCATGCTCACACAAACAAGGGTAGTATGTTGGCTCACAGCATCAGAGACCTGGGTTCGATTCCACCCTTGTGTAACTCTCTGAGTGGAGTTTGTATATTCTCCCCATGTCTGCATGGGTTTCCTCTGAGTGCTCCGGTTTCCTCCCATAGATGCTAAATTGCCCTGAAGTGTCCAGGGATGTGTACTTTCCTCTGCAACCGGTGAAGGTGCATCATCTGTCCATTTACCTTAGTATCCAAGGGCCCAAACATACCTTTCAGGTGAAGCAACACTTCACCTGCACTTCCCAGAATCTAGTCTACTGCATTCGCTGCTCACAATGTGGTCTCCTCTACATTGGGGAAATGAAAAGTAGGCTGGCTGATCACCAAACACAACATTTACGTTCTACTCGTGAAAAAGACCCTGAACTACCCATTGCTGCCACTTTAACGTACCACCCTGTTCCCTGACCCACATCTCTGTCTCTGGCTTGCTGCAGTGTTCCAGTGAAGCTCAATGCAAGCTGGAAGAACAAAGCCTCATTTTCCGCTTGGGGACCCTGTGGCCCTCTGGACTCAATATCGAGTTCAATAATTTTAGGGCCTAAACTCTCCCATGTCCCAGCCCCCTACCCCACATACCAGGCCTTGTTACCACATAGCCCCTGTTGTTAGTCACTAACAGTCCCCATTAACAGCTATTCACCCTCCCAGCCTGATCGTTAACAACTCCTTTGCCTATCCAACTGCTCTTCTCTCTGTTCGTGCTCTATCCGATCATTTACTTCCTACCCCATACCCCTCCATATTTTCTGCATATGGACTGACGTTTTCCCAGTTACCATCAGTTCTGAGGAAGGGTCACCAGACCCGAAATGTTAACTTTGATTTTTTTCTTCACACATGCTGCCAGACCTGCTGAGCTTTTCCAGCAACTTCTGTTTTTGTACTTATCTTATATATTTCGCTCTCTCTCTCTCTCGCTCTCTCTCTCTTCCCCCCTCCACACTCACTAACTCACTCTCACCTTCCACACACTCTCTCCCTCTCTCTCTCTCCTTTCACTCTCTTCCTCTATTCTCCCACACTCCCTCCCTTTCTCTCGCTGTCAACACTCTCGTCTTCCAGCCACTCTCTCCCTCAACTTCCACTCCCTCTCACTTATTCACTCACCTTCCTCTCTCGGTCTTCCTCTTGCCTCCTGTTGGGTCCTGCACACATTACACACTGTCTCCGAAGGCTTGTTGGACCCAGTCTCGGGTGAGTCTTTGCTCCTAGTGACCCCCTGATTCTCCGGTCCAGGTTTTGAAAGGCCAGTATTCTGCGCAGACTCCACCACCTAAAGGACAATGTTCCACAGAGTGAGGGACCACCCAACCAACTGCGGCTCACACTCAGGTAGCTCCACAGCCCCTCTGTCCCATTGTCCCCTCTCCCCATCCCCCGTTTTGGGCCCTCATCCTTCTATCTGCTCCCTCTTACAGCCGTCATCACTGTCCCTCCCGCCCACTGACCCCCTCACTCCCTCCCTATCACTGCCCACACTCACTAACCCCACATCCAACCCAACCCACCCTCCCATTTCCTCCCTCACTACACCTCCCTCATTGCCTCCTCACTTGTCTGTTCCTCTCTCCATTCACATTACTGCTCACATCCACATAGCCCACGCACTAATCCTCTGACAGTGTGTTTTGCCTTCATTACTGACCCTCTGACAGTGCAGCACTCCCTCAGCACTAACCCTCCGACAGTGCGGCACTCCCTCAGCAATGACCCTCCGACAATGCAGCATTCCCTCAGTACTGACCCTCTGAGAGTGCAGAACTCTGTTAGATACGAGTCTAAAATGTCAGCTTTTCAATTTTTTGTGAAGTGTCATTTTGCCTTGAAGCCAAACCTTCTGACTTGAATGTCTAGCCATACACACTGCAATACCGTCTCCACCCAACTTCAAGATACAGTGCTGGAAGTCATTGCAAATGAAGTCTCTCTGATGTGTAGAAGACTCAACAATTTGTATGAGCACCAATATTTGTTAGCAGAGACAACTGGGCTGAATGGCCTCACCTTGGACTGGCACTGTTCCCTCCCTGGGTATGGAACTGTGGATGCAGTGTGTTAATGAGCACAGGGTGTAGGACTGAGCAATGGATGCAGAATTTTTCTGTGGTGTTCACACTCACTTTGAGGATGCTATCACCCACTGACTTCAGGATTTCCGTTATTTTTGTGAAGAGGACGGACCGAGTTGGGGACACAGTCATGTGGCCGTCAGCATCAAACACCAAGTGTACCTTCAGGAAAGCTGGCCTCTGTTCATTTGTGCTCTGTGAAACAACACAATGCAGCATTTGGAGCCTTCACCATTGGGCAATGCAATCCAAACATAATCCCCATTTACACCTTCCCCTCATGACCACCCCGCACCCCCCCACCAACCCCAAACACACACACACACACACAAACACACACATATTCGCACCTTGCCACACACTTTCCTGTACCTCCCATCAACACATATTCTCTCCCCACCCCACACCCACTCCCCCACCCCACACACATTGTCCCCCCCGTCCACATTTACTCCCCTCATCCAATATTACACACATTGTCATACCCACATGCTCCACACACATCTCTCCCCTCGCCCTGCAATGATTGGAATGACATCAGCCAGGTAAACCTTGCAGTTTATCAGTTCCCTGATTGGGGCCATTAACCTGGTTCAATCAGGGAGCCCTGGCTGACAGCTATAAACAGGAGTGTCAGGGGTCCTGTTCACTCTGGGAGTTGACTCTGACAAGGCTGTACCAGAGTCAAGGACTCTCTATCTGTAAATAAAGAGTCACTTAAGCACTGCCCTTACTGGATTTGCTTGTTACTAGTTCACTAGCCACATGGGTGTTACCTGGTGGTGGAAATGTTGAATAAAGTTTTTTTGCACGTGGTTTTACTTACTGAGCCACTGCACATAAACACTCACACACCACAGGTGATGTATGGAAAATAAGCACTACTGCTATGCAGTAGTAGTGTGGGGGGGAGGGGGGCAAAATAAAGGGTGACTTGGTGACAGGATATTGGCCTCTGTGGAGTTACTTCAGTGGTGATGAGAGTAAAGTATGTACTGAAGAAACTCGTTTGCAACAGTTGTTTCTGAGTTGGAGGTCTGGCATCATGCTGCTTTTGGGAAGCTTGACTCCGATTCTGCTCTGAACCTGGCAGCATGTAGACCTGTAGCTTTTTCAGTTATCAGGACCTAACTTTCCCAGAGGCACCAGATACTGAAACCTTTTAAGAGTTGACAGATTTAGTTCAGGAATATTACGAATTCAAGCCTCCCTTGATTCTGAGATGCAATCATTTTTACTTGACAAATTGAGAACCAGGAGAGTCTGTGTCAGGATTTTTGACGAGGTTAAGATGACTGGCAGAGGCATGTGACGTTGGTTTAACCCTCAGTAAAACACTGAGAGATCAGTTGGTATGTGGGATTAATGATGTAACCTTGCAAAAGTGCCTACTGGCTGAAGCCTAATTGAACTTCAAAGAGGCACTACAACTGGCTGTAACATTGGAAAATGCGGCATGTGGAGTATATGAGTTCCAGAGTATTCCAATGGAAGTGGATACCCTCACTACACCGACTGAACTCAGGGAACAACCATTTGAGTGAAGGCAATTGCATAGCCTCACTCAGGGTGTATCTGGAACACAGGGACTCTAGGTCAGCCCACAGCAAAACACAAAACAAAGCCAAGCCTAGGCTAAACGGTTAAAATTTTCTTCAGGATCCGGGCCGGCAAGCCATTGTAGTATGGTATGTGGACTCGAGACAGCAAGACTCCCCTTAGGCCTGAATTGAGTAAGAGAACTCACAGACCAATGCACACCCTGGAAAGTCTACTTCCATCTGGTTTGGAATAGTTAAACATCCAAACCAGAACCAATCAGAATAAACATCTGGTTAAATGGTCACCCGGTTCTAATAGAAGTCGATACTGTCTCAGACTTTTCAGCGGTTGCAGACCAGTCTCTAAAAACATTCGCTCTGGATTCTGCCTCTTAAGTTTGTGCAAGACCTCAGCTAGACCGAGAACCTATACCGGGGAAGTGTTACAGCTTAAGTGTGAAACTTCGGTTGCTGTCTCTTATGAGAAGCAGCTGGTTCAGTTACCACTGATTGTCGTAAAAGGCTCGGTCCCAAGTTTGATGGGGTGGAATTGGTTGAGAAAGATTCACCTTGATTGGCTCAATGTTTTGCAATTAGAAAATGGCTGCCTGAGTGAAGTCCTAACAAAATACCCAGAAGGTTTTCAGGAAGGTCTAGGGACTATCAGAGGAGCCAAGACCATCTTGCACGTTGATCAGGAAGCAACTCCACGATTCTGCAAGGCTCTCCCAGTGCCATTGCCCTATGGGCAAAAGTAGGGGCAGAATTTAGGAGGCTGGAAAGCGAAGGAGTCATCAAACCCGTACAGTTTGTGGAATGGCCCTAGCACCAGTCATACCGATTGTGAAACCCAATGGGTTGGTTTGTCTTTGTGGGGATTTTAAACAAACGGTAAACTGCTTTTCACAGCTGGATAAATATCCAATTCCTGGCACCAAGGATTTATAAACAAAGCTGGCAGTGAGACTGTCCTTCACGAAGCTGGACATGAGCCATGTGTACTTGAACTTACTACTTGCGACTAGATGAAGATTCCAAGATGTACGCTACAGTTCATATCCGTAAAGGTTAATATCAATTTGCAAGACTGCCATTTGGGGTATTGTCAGCTTGAGCAATTTTCCAACTAATGGTGGAGAACATTTTACAAGGTCTACCCCAGGTCACCATTTATCTAGATGATGTGCTAAGGGAACAGTCAATAAAGAGCACTTAGAGAACTTGGATGTAGTCCTTAGACGTTTCTTAAGTTTTCCTCATTGACTCTTCCCTGTTATTAGCACATCATCTGGATAAACAGTAGACCTTGTAAATCGTTCTCCACCGTCAGCTGGAAAATTGCACAGGCGGGCGTATCCTTTAGAAATGTGTGCTCCAGGCACCCCAAGTGACCTATTTGGGCTACAGAGTCAACAAGACAGGGTTATACCCATTGGAAGATAAAGTGAGAGCGATCAAAGGTGTCCCAGCTCCCAGATCTGTACAGAAGCTTAGCTTTTTCCTTGGGCTGGTGAATTATTACAGAAAGTTCATACATAACCTAGTCTCCATCCTGGCACCATAGCATCAGCTGTTAAAAAAGAGTCAGCCTTGGTAAAAGTCAGGTAGCCACGCCATAGCTTTCAGGGAAGTGAAGAAACAGCTGTCATCGTCTAAGGTGGTGGCACACTATGATCCCAAGAGAGATCAGATATTGATGTGCCAAGTTTCCCTGTAAGGCACTGGGGCAGTATTGGCTCATAGGTTTCCCAAGGGAGAGGAATGCCCAGTAGCGTATGAACATAGAACATAGAATATAGAACATAGAACAGTACAGCACAGTACAAGCCCTTTGGCCCACGATGTTGTGCCTACTCTAAGATCAAACTACCCTGCATACCCTTCATTTTACTATCATCCATGTGCCTATCCAAGAGTCGCTGAAATGTCCCTAATGTATCTGACTCCACTACCACCACCGGCAGTGCCTTCCACACACCCACCACCCTCTGTGTAAAGAACCTACCTCTGACATTTCCCCTATATCTTCCTCCCATCACCTTAAAATTATGCCCCGTCGTGATAGCCATTTTGGCCCTGGGAAAAAGTCTCTGCTATCCACTCAGATCCAGGACATCTCTGCAGGAGTTCCTCAGGGTAGTGTCCTAGGCCCAACCATCTACAACTGCTTCATCAATGACCTTCCCTCCATCATAAGGTCAGAAGTGGGGATGTTTGCTGATGATTGCACAATGTTCAGCACCATTCGTGACTCCTCAGATACTGAAGCAGTCCGTGTTCACATGCAACAAGATCTGGACAATATCCAGGCTTGGGCTGAGAAGTGGCAACTAACATTCATGCAACAACACTCAAGAAGCTTGACACCATCCAGGACAAAGCAGCCTGCTTGCTTGGCACCACATCAAAAAGCATCCACTCCCTCCACCGACGCTCAGTAGCAGCAGTGTGTACTACCTACAACATAGAAACATAGAAGATAGGAGCAGGAGGAGACCATTCGGCCCTTTGAACGTGCTGTGCCATTCTTCATGATCACGGCTGATCATCCAACTCAATAGCCTAATCCTGCTTTCTCCCCATAAACTTTGATCCCATTCACTCCAAGTGCTATATCCAGCTGCCTCTTGAACACATTCAATGTTTTGGCATCAACTACTTCCTGTGGTAATGAGTTCCACAGGCTCACCACTCTTTGGGTGAAGAATTGTCTTCTCATCTCCGTCCTAAATTGTCTACCCCGAATCCTCATACTGTGGCCCCTGGTTCTGGACAAGATGCACTGCAGAAACTCACCAAAGATCCTCAGACTGCACCTTCCAAACTCATGATCACTTCCTTCTAGGAGGACAAGGGCAGCAGATACATGAGAACATCACCATTTTCAAGATCCCCTCCAAGCCATTCACCATCCTGACTTGGAAATATATCACCATTCCTTCAATGTCACTGGGTCGAATTCCTGGAATTCCCTCCCTAATGGCATTGTGGGTCAACCCACAGCAGGTGGACTGCAGCAGTTCAAGAAGGCAGCTCACCACCACCTTCTGAAGGGCAACTTGGGATGGGCAATAAATGCTGGCCAGCCAGCGATACCAACATCCCACAAATGAATAAATAAATAAATATATCTTGCTGGCCATTGGGAAGCCTATAGTATAACCAACATCATAGTGATTGCACCTTTCTTATTCCTAAATTCTACCCATGTTGCGCACTGGATGAACCCTCCAAGATGTCCTCTCTTACTGCAGCCTTGATGCTCTCTTTAATCAGTAACTCCCCCCACCTCATTTACATCCCTCTCTTTCATACCTGAAACATCAAAACCTGGAACACTGAGATGTCAGGCCTGACTCTCTCTCAACCAAGTTTCTGTAATGGCTGCAACATCATATTTCCAGGCTCTAAGTTCATCTGTCTTACCTTCAGACTGCAGTGTTCATTAACCTGGCCCTACCTGCTATTCCTATTAGAATTACTTGACTTAACCTCTATTTTCTCTTCAATTACTCCATATGCTGGCTTGCTGCTCTGTTTTCCAGCTTCCCTGCCATTGGAGTTGAGTTGAGTTGAGACCACAATGAGATCATCCATTACCTCAGTGAATGACAAAGCAGGCCCAAGGGGCAGAAGGGCAGAACTAAAATCAGGATATTTAAGAATTCAAGGCCTGCAGAGTTTGTGGAGGGCTGTGAGACTGCAGGAAATTACAGACACCCAGCAGTTTGTTCTCCACTTACCTGCAAAACATGTTGGACAAAATTTTGGACCTCGCCTTGGGCCACAGTGATGAGATTCTGCACTGTCATGTGATTGACCAGAGCTCCTAGACGGCCCAGACTCTGAACCACCTGCTCGGCCTCTTGCAGGCGTTTCTCAGCCACCTCCTGCTTTTCTCGCTGCACATGCAGAGACTCCTTCAGGAAGTTGGCTTCTATTAACTCCAGCTGTGTTCTACAGTCTCGAATAATCTTGTAAGTGTCCTCACGTACCTGCATCACCAACAACAACAACGATGTGACTCTAACTGCCATGGTGTTGAGAAGCATGGCAGAGTTAAACTAAGAGGAGGTTAGGAAGTTTTGAGGTTGCAGAAGCTGCTGTCAAAGTGCATTAGAGAGTAAATGACTGTTATAGTCTTCATGGAGATGTGGATTAGAGCTGACACTCTCCACAAAGGATTGTTAGGGACTATTATTTCAAACAGGGCTCAGCTTGGATGAAGACAATTCAAGATCAACAGAGGATTTAAGGCAGTATTCTGCATGAAGGTGAGGATTAGAGGATGAAGATTAAAGCAGGTGTATTTTGGGGTTATATAGAATTAGAGCAGCAGTTACATGGTTTTTGAGACTCAGAAATATTAACGTGTTTTGGGGTCCATTTACATCCATCATAGCTATAGAACATATCCAGACAGAGGGCTGACAGAATGCACTCTCATCACCACATAGAATATTCGAATCACAGGATTGGTACATACTCTTTCTCTTGCAAACTGTTTTCTCCTTGGATAGTTATCCAATTCCCTGTTGAAAACTTCAGTTGACCCTGCCTCCTCCACACTCTCAGACAGTACATTCCAGACCCTAACCACTTGAGTGAACCTGCCTCCCCCACACTCTCAGACAGTACATTCCAGATTCTAATCATTTGAAGGAACCTGCCTCCTCCACATTTTACTATCTTCCATGTGCCTATCCAAGAGTCGCTTAAATGTCCCTAAAGTATCTGACTCCACTACCACTGCCGGCAGCACATTCCACACACCCACCACTCTCTGTGTGAAGAACCTACCTCTGACATCTCCCCTGTACCTTCCTCTAATCACCTTAAAATTATGCCCCCTCGTGATAGCCATTTCCGCCCTGGGAAAATATCTCTGGCTATCCACTCTAACTATGCCTCTCATCATCTTGTACACCTCTATCAAGTCACCTCTCATCCTTCTTCGCTCCAATGAGAAAAGCCATGAGACCATAAAACCATAAGACACAGGAGCAGAAATTAGGCCTTTCGGCCCAGTGAGTCTGCTCCGCCATTCAATCATGGCTGATAAACTCCTCAACCCCATTCTCCCGCTTTTTCCCCGTAAACCTTGATCCCCTTGATAATCAAGAACCTATCTATTTCAGACTTAAATGTACTCAATGACCTGGCCTCCACAGTCTTCTGTGGCAGTGAATTCCATAGATTCACCACTCTCTGGCTGAAGAAGTGTCTTCTTATCTCCGTCCTAAAAGGTCTCCCCTTTACTCTAAGGCTGTGTCCTCGGGTCCTAGTATTTCCTACAAATGCAAACATCTTCCCAACATCCACTCTGTCCAGGCCATTCAGTATTCTGTAAGTTGCAATTAGATCCCCCCTCATCCTTCTAAATTCCAATGACTATAGCCCTAGCTCCCTCATCCTTTCCTCATAAGACCTGCTCACCAGTCCAGGCAGCATCCTGGTAAATCTCCTCTGCACCCTCTCTAAAGCTTCCACATCTTTCCTATAATGAGGCGACGAGAACTGAACACAATATTCCAAGTGTGGTCTAACCAGGGTTTTATAAAGCTGCAACATAACCTCACGGCTCTTAAACTCAATTCCCCTGCCAAAGAAAGCCAACACACCATATGCCTTCTTTACAACCCTATCAACTTGGGTCGCAACTTTGAGGGATCAATGGACGTGGACCCCAAGATCCCTCTGTTCCTCCACACTGCCAAGAATCCTGCCATTAACCCTGTATTCTGCATTCGAATTCCACCTTCCAAAATGAATCACTTCACACTTTTCTGGGTTGAATTCCATCTGCCACTTCTTTGCCCAGCTCTGCATCCTGTCAATGTCCCGTTGCAACCTACAACAGCCCTCCAGACTATCCACAACTCCACCAACCTTCGTGTCATTGGCAAACTTACTAAACCACCCTTCCACTTCCTCATCCAAGTTATTTATAAAGATCACAAAGAGCAGAGGTCCCAGAACAGATCCCTGCGGAACACCACTGGTCACTGAGCTCCAGGCTGAATACTTTCTATCTTTGGAATTCTTTGAGGACATTACTTGCATGGTGGACAATGGGGAACCTGTGGATGTGGTGTATCTGGATTTCCAGAAGGCATTTGACAAGGTGCCACACCAAAGGCTACTACATAAGATAAAGTTCCACGGTATTACAGGTAATGTATTGGCAATGATAGAGGATTGGTTGCCCAGTAGAAAGCAAAGAGTAGGGGTAAATGGGTGTTTTTCTGGTTGGCCATCAGTGGCTAGTGGTGTGCCTCAGGGATCAGTGTTGGGACCGCAATTGTTTACAATTTACATAGATGATTAGGAGTTGGGGACTAAGTGTGGTGTGTCAAAATTTGCAGATGACACGAAGGTGAGTGGTAGAGCAAAGTGTGCAGAAGACACTGAAAGTCTGCAGAGGGATATAGATAGTCTAACTGAGTGGGCAAAGGTCTGGCAGATGGAGTACAATGTTGATAAGTGTGAGGTCATCCATTTTGGTACGAACAACAGGAAAATGGACTATGTTTTAAATGGTAAAAAATTGCAGCACGCTGCTGTGCAGAGGGACTTGGGTGTCCTTGTGCATGAATCGCTAAAAGTAGGATTGCAGGTGCAGCAGGTAATTAAAAAGGCAAATGGAATTTTGTCTGCCATTGCTCAAGGGATGGAGTTGAAAAACAGGGAGGCTATGCTGCAGCTGTATAGAGTCCTGGTGAGGCCACACCTGGAGTACAGTTTTGGTCTCCTTACTTGAGAAGAGATATACTAGCACTGGAGATTCACTTGGTTGATTCCAGAGTTGAGAGGGTTGGATTACGAGGAGAGACTGAGTAGACTGGGATTATACTCATTGGAATTCAGAAGAATGAGGGGAGATCTTATAGAAACATATAAGATTATGAAAGGAATAAATAAGGTGGAGGCAGGGAGGTTGTTTCCGCTAGCAGGTGAAACTAGGACTAGAGGGCATTGCCTCAAAATAAAGGGAAGCAGATGTAGGACTGAGGTCAGGAGGAACTTCTTCACCCAAAGGGTTGTGAATCTGTGGAATTCCCTGCCCAGTGAAGCGGTTGAAGCTACTTCGCTGAATGTTTTTAAGGCAAGACTAGATAAATTTTTGAACAGTAAAGGAATTACGGGTTATGGTGAGTGGGCGGGTAAGTGGAGCTGAGTCTCAAAAAGATCAGCCATGATCTTATTAAATGGCGGGGCAGGCTCGAGGGGCCAGATGGCCTACTCCTGCTCCTAGTTCTTATGTTCTTATCTACTACCACCCTCTGTCTTAGAACAGCCAATTCTGTATCCAGACAGCCAAATTTCCCTGAATCCCAGCCTCCTTACTTTCTGAACGAGGGGAACCTTATCAAATGTCTTGCTAAAATCCATATACACCACATCTACTGCTCTACCTTCATCAATGTATTTTGTTACATCCTCAAAGAATTCAGTAAGGCTTGTGAGGCATGACCTGCCCCTCACAAACCCACGCTGACTATTTCTAATCAAACTGTGCTTTTCCAAATAATCGTAAATATTATCTCTCAGAATCCTCTTCAATAATTTGCCCACCACAGAAGTAATGGTCTGTAATTCCCAGGATTATCTGAATTCCCTTTCATGAACAAGGGAATAACATTTGCCAACCTCCAATCATCTGGTACTACTCCAGTCTATCCTCATGTTTTTCAAAATTTCTAGCACATCCTCCTTCCTAACATCAACCTGTTCGAGCATATCAGCCTGTTTCATGCTGTCCTCACAAACTACAAGGTCCCTCTCACTGGTGAATACTGAAGCAAAGTATTCACTGGGGTCTTCCCCACCTCCTCCGACTCCAGGCACAAATTCCCTCCACTATGCCTGATCGGCTGTACCCTCACTCTGGCCATCCTCAAGGGTCAAGAGGTTTAGAGGAGATGTGAGGAAAAATCTATTCACCCAGAGGGTAGTAGGAATCTGGAACTCACCGCCTGTAAGGGTGGGAGAGGCAGAAACTCTCATAACAGAAAGTATTCAGATGGGTACTTGTAATGCCAAGACAGACAAGGCTATAGGGCAAACCATAGAACAGAATCATTGAATCATAGAATCTTACAGTACAGAAGGGGGCCTCTTGACCACTGTGTCCACTGAGCAATCCAGCTATTCCCACTCTCCAACCATATCTCCATAGCTCTCTAACTTCATCATTTCCAGCCAAATGCTGGAAAATGGGATTAGAGTAGTTTGATGGTTGCTTTTGACCACCACAGCTTTAATGGGTCAAAGAGCCTTTTTCCATGTTGAAGATTCTTTGACTCTATGATGGGCCAAGAGGCCTCATTCTGCATTATAACAATTCTATGATTTAAGGTTCTTGACTCAATTTGTAGCTCGGGTTGTGGATGCCGTGGTTGGTTCGCTCACTGAACTGGTTCATTAGTTCGCAGACGTTTCATTACCCTGCTGGGCAACATCATCAGTGCAGCCTCCGATGAAGCACTGTTGTGTAGTAGTACCCCTCAGACCCATAGTCTCACTTCCAGGGACACCAAGGAATTATAACGAAGACTAAAGCACCTCATCAGCAAGTCACTCCACTCAATCCACTCAGCCCAGGAGTTCCTCAAATCCCTCAAAGACATAAGAATAGACGAGGATGAGACCATGGTGTCCTTTGACATTACCGCCCTAGTCACAGCGATTGACATACCATTGGCAAGAGAAACACTAGCAACACTTCTAAAGGAATGAGATCCAAGTGACACCATCTCCACAGACAACATGCTGAAATTACTGGACCTATGCCTCACGACCCACTTTACCTTTAATGGTCAAATCTATGAATGAATCAACGGGACACCCATGAGATCACCTGTTTCCGGACTAATAGCAGAAGCGGTGATGCAGAGACTCGAAAGCATGGCCCTTCCGCAGATCCAACCTAAGCTATGGATCCAATACGTGGACAACACTTTCGTCATCATTAAACGGACTAAACTAGAGGAGACGCACAAACTAATAAACAACACTCTCACCGGCATCAAATTCACCAGGGAAGAAGAAAAGAACGAACAGCTCCCATTTCTGGACATGATGGTAGAACGCAGGACCAACGGGGAATACCTGACAAAGGTACACAGAAAGGCCACACATACGGATCAAGTCCTGAAATTCAACAGTAATGACCACAACACCCACAAATGAAGTTGCGTAAAAACACTATTTAAACAAGTGACAACACACTGTAGCAACCCGGAACTACGCCAAAACAAAGAAGAATACCTCCACCAAGTATTTACGGACAACGGATACCCAAACAGCTGGCTCCGATGATGCCTATAATACAAACAACAGGAAGATACAGTACACCCTGAAACACTCGTCACGTTACCATACATCAAGAACATATCCAAACTGACCACAAGACCCCTATGATCATTGGGCATCAGAGTGGCACACAAACCTACAGCAACCTTACGCCAACTGCTAACTCGAACCAAAGACCCCTTACCCACTATGGACAGAACCAACGTGATATACAAGATTCCATGCAAAGACTGCAACCAACATTACATTGGACAGACAGGAAGGAAACTGACCACAAAAATACACGAACACCAACTAGCAATAAAAAGACATGACCAGTACTCACTCGGCTCCATTCACACGGGTAAGGAGAACCACCAGATTGATGGGACAACATCAGGATCCTAGGACTGGCCAAACAGAGAAAAGCACGGGAATTTCTAGAGGGCTGATTCTCCACCAAGAAGGCCATCAATAAAAAACCCTTTATATACACCACTGCGAAGGAAAACCGGAAATGAGGTAATCAAATCCAACGGACCCCAGAGTTTAAATACCAGGCGGCAAAATACACAGCACTTCATCGGAGGCTGCACTGATGATGTTACCCAACAGGGTAATGAAACATCTGCAGAACAACGAACCAGCTCGGCAAGCCAACCAACCACAAAATTCTATGATTTTGTGACAAAAGGACAAGTGCAGCAGATAAAAGGGAACCTCATTTCCTGCACATTTCCCTCCAAACCTCATGGGTTCCTGACTTGACATTGGTGTTGTGGGTGTGTGCTGGTGCAGTGAGTGTGCAGTGATGCAGCAACTTGATCTGGTGTTACGAGTATGCATATACCATCTGGAGAATAATGTTGCAGTAATTGAAGAATTTCTCCAGTAAGTTGCAGGCCTCGGTGGTCCTGTGACTGTGGTGCTGCAGGAACTCGTCTAGAGTGTAAGGTTCAGTCACATCTATAGGAAGCCAGTGCACTTGTTGCAGCTCTTGTATCAGCCTGGAAAGAGAAACAGAGTCCGTTACACGGCTTAACCATGAGATTTCCTGAAGACACTGATTGTTCTTGGTGGAGAGGATGGGAGAGTAAAAGGTAGGACAGTTGATGAGAGGTGGCAGATGTTTAAGGAGATACTCAATTGCTCCCAACTAAAATACATTCCAGAAAGGAAGGGAGATTGTAAGACGGGGAGAAAACATCCATGGCTGTGCAAGGAAGTTGTAGACAATATAAAGACAAAACCTAAAGCAGACCATATTGCAAAGATGAGTGGCAGGCTGGAAGATTGCGACACTTTTAACAATCAACAACAGGATACTAAAAAAGTCAGAAAAAGAACAAAGGTAAATTATGAAAGAAAATGATAAAATGGATAGCAAAAGCTTCTATAAAGATATACAAAGGAAGACAGTAGCTAATGTGAGTGTTGGTACCATGGAGGATGTGACTGGGGTGTTAATAGCGGAGAACACAGAAATGGTGGGCTCATTAAATTAATACTTTGCTTCAGTTTTGATGGTAGAGGACACTAGTACCATTCCAATAATTAGTTAATTCAGAGGTTATATACAGGGGGAACTTACAACAATCATCATCAGTAGAGAAAAAGGACTTAGCAAACTATTGGGATTGAAGGCAGACAAGTCCCAAGGCCTTAAGGCCTACTACATCTTAGGGTTTTAAAGGAAGTAGCAGCAAAGATAATGGGTCCATTGCATATAATATTCCAAAACTCCGTGGATGCAGGAAAGGTTCTAGTGGATTGGAGAAATGCTAATATAACACCCATATTCAAAAAGGGCAGGAGGCAGAAAGTAGGAAACTACAGGCCAGTTAGTTTAACATATATCATTGGGAAATTGCTAGAATCCATTATTAAGGAAGTAATAACAGGACATTTAGAAAAACAAATACAATCCATCGGAGTCAGCATGGTTTTATGAAGGGTAAATCACATTTCACTGTTTGAAATAGCTCTTCGCAAGCAAAGTGGATAATGGGGATTCTGTGGTTGTAGTATATCGAAACTTCAGAAGGCATTTTATAAGGTGCCTCACAAAAGGTTAATACACAAGGTAAGATCTGATGGGGTGACAGGTAATTTATTGGATAGATAGAGGAGTGGCTAATCAACAGAAAGCAAAGCATCAGGATAAATGCGTCTTTTTCTGGTTGGCAGGAAATAACTAGTGGAATGCACAGGGTTTGGTCTGCAGACCCCACCTATTTACATCTACATTAATGACTTGGACGCAGGGATAGAAGTTACGATAGCCAAATTTGCAGATGATGTTAAAACAGTTTGTTAGATGAAAAAATAAGAAATTTATAATCGATATTATGAGCCAAAATTAGGCAGGTAGCACTTAATGTGGATAATTGCAAGATTATCCATTTAGGTTAGAAGAATAGAAAGGCAATTTTCTATCTAAATGGAGGGAACCACAGAGTATTTAGGTTTCTTTAAAATTCTTTTGTAAGACTTGGGCATCGCTGGATGGGTCCAGCATTCATTGTCCGTCCCTAGTTGCCCTTGACAAGGTGGTGGTGAAATGACTTCTTGAACCGCTGCAGTCCACCTACTGTAGGTTGACCCACGATTGTTTTCACTGGAGTTCAGACAAATGAATGGGGATTTCATAGAAACTTATAAAATTCTAACAGGACTGGACAGGGTAGATGCAGGGAGGATGTTCCTGATGGTGGGTGTGTCCAGAGCCAGGGGTCACAGTCTGAGGATTTGGGGTAGACAATTTAGGATGGAGATGAGAGGACATTTCTTCACCCAAAGAGTGGTGAGCCTGTGGAATTCATTACCACAGAAAGTAATTGATGTCAAAACATTGAATGTATTCAAGAAGTAACTAGATATAGCACTTGGGAGCGAATGGGGTCAAAGTTTATGGAGAGAAAACAGGATTAGGCTATTGAGTTGGATGATCAGGCATGATCGTGAAGAATGGTGGAGCAGGCTCGAAGGACCAAATGGCCTCCTCCTTCTCCTATCTTCACATGTTTCTATGCTATTAGGGAGGGAATTTCAGCATTTTGACCCAGCAACAGTGAAGGAACAGCAATATGTATCCAAGTCAGGATGGTGATTGGCTTGCAGGGGAGCCTGAAGAGTGTGATGTTCCCATATATCTGCTGCCCTTGTCCTTCTAGATGGAAGTGGTTGTGGGTTTGGAAGGTGCTGTCTGAGGATCTTTGGTAAATTTCTGCAGTGCATCTTGTAGATACTACACACTGCTGCTACTGAGTGTTGGCGGTGGAGGGACTGGATGTTTGTGGATGTGGTGCCAATAAAGCAGGCTGCTTTATCCTGGATGGTGTCAAGCTTCTTGAGTGTTGTTGGGGCTGCACTCATCCAGGCAAGTGGGGAGTATTCCATCACACTCCTGACTTGCTCACTGTAGATGGTGGACAGGCTTTCAGGAGTCAGGAGATGAGTTACTTGCTGCAGTGGTCCCAGCTTCTGGCCTGTTCTCATAGCCACTCTGTTAATGTGGTGAGTACAGTTGAGTTTCTGGTCAAAAATAACCTCCAGGAGGCTGATAGTGGGGGATTCAGTGATGGTAACACCATTGAACGTCAAGGGGCGGTGGTTAGATTGTCTCTTATTGGTGATGGTCATAGCTTGGCTTTTGTGTGGCGCCAATGTCACTTGCCACTTGTCAGCCCAAGCCTGGATATTGTCTAGAGCTTGTTGCATTTGAACATGGACTGCTTCAGTATCTGAGGAGTTGCGAATGGTGCTGAACATTGTGTAATCATCGGCGAACATCCCCACTTCTGACCTTATGATGGCGGGAAGGTAATTGATGAAGCAGATGAAGATGGTTGGGCCGAGGATACTACCCTGAGGAACTCCTGCAGAGATGTCCTGGAGCTGAGATTATTGACCTGCAATAACCTTGGCCATCTTGTGGCACAGTGATAGTGCCACAACACGATGGAGGCTATTCTCATTATGAAGGCAGGACTTCGTCTCCACAAGGACTGTGCAATGGTCACTCTTACCAATACTGTCACAGACAGATGTAATTACAGCTGGCAGATTGGTAAGGATGAGGTCAAGTATGTTTTCCCCTCTTGTTGGTTCCCTCACCACCTGCCGCAGACCCAGTCTCGCAGCTATATCCTTTAGGACCTGACCAGCTCGATCAGTAGTACTGCTGCCGAGCCACTCTTGGTGGTGGACATTGAAATCCACATCCAGAGTACATTTTGTGCCCTTGCCATCCTCAGTGCTTCCTCCAAGTGTTGTTCAATATGGAGGAATACTGATTCATCAACTGAGGGAGGATGGTATGTGAAATTCAACAGGTGATTTCCTTGCCCATGTTTAACCTGAAGCTATTAGACTTCATGGGGTCTACAGTCTATGTTGAGGACTCCCAGAGCAACACCATCCCGACTCTATATCACTGTGCCGTCCACTCTGTGCACTAACCCCCAGATGTTAGTGAGGAGGACTTTGCAGGGTCGACAGGACTGTTTCTGTCGTTGTCTTGTCCGGTGCCTAGGTTGATGCCAGGTGATCCGTCCCATTTCATTTCTTTGAGGCTTTGTAGCGATTGGTACAACTGAGTGGCTTCCTAGGCCATTTCAGAGGGCAATTGAGAGTCAACCACATTGCTGTGGGTCTGGAGTCACATGTAGACTAGACCAGGTGAGGGTGGCAGATTTCCTTCCCTGAACGACATTAGTGAACGAGATGGGTTTTTCCAACAATGATTTCATGGCGATCAGTAGATTCTTAATTCCGGATTATTTTTATTGAATTCATATTCCACCATCTGCTGTGGTAGGATTTGAACCTGGAATCCCAAACCTTTTCCTGAGTTTCTGGATTAATAGTCTGGCGATAATACCACTAGGCCATTGCCTCCCTGTAGGTGCAGGGGATCTGGATGTCCTTGTGCATGAATTGCAGAAAACTGGTCTGCAGGTACATAACGTTGTAAGGAAGGCAATTAGAATAATGGCATTTACTGTTAAAGGAACAGAGCATACAAGTAGGGAAATGTAGCTGCAACTCTACAAGGCATTGGTAAGACTACATCTCGCGTCTTGCTATTCGTTCACTTACTTGAGGAGGGATTTATTGAAGGCAGTTCAGAAGAGATTCAGTGGATTGTTTTCAGAAATGAGGGGTTTGTTTATGAATAGAGATCGAGTCGTTTGGACCTACTGTCTCTAGAGTTCAGAAGGATGCGAGGAGATTAATTACATACAAAGTGAAAGGAGATTGACAAAGTAGAAGCAGAAAGTATGGTTCCCCTTGAGGGGCAATCTAGAACAAGAGGTCATAGTTTTAGGATAAGGGGTAGCATATTTAAAATAAAACTAAGGAGTAATTACTTCTCTCAAAGGATCATGAATCTGTAGAATTCACGAGCTTGGAGTGCACTTTTCTCAAAGTGTTGAGAGTCTGCGGAATCCCCACACAGAGCGGTGGATGCTGGGACAGAGTAAATTTAAGGAGATTTTTTAATTAGTAACGGGTTGAAGGGTTATAGAGAGCAGGCAGAGAAGTGGAGTTCAGGCTGAGAAGTGATCAGGCGTGTCAAATGGCAGATCAGGCTCAAAGGGCTGAATTTCCCATTCCTGCTCCTAGTTCTTGTCTTCTTATTCTGAAATATTGCCTTCTTATCCAAGACTCCTGCCCAGGGGGAAACAATCTTTCTGCATCAACTGTGTCAAGTTTCCAAAGAATCTTGGCTGTTTCAATGAGGTCACTTCTCATTCTTCTAAACTCCAATGAGTACAAGCCCAACATCATTACAGAGTCTCCTCAATGTATGACAGGGATTTGTCTCCACACACAGACTGTGAGGAGATCAGTCTTAGTGGCAAGAGCTAGTGGTAGGCCAGAAGATTGGAATTCTTTAGGAACTAGCAGCGGATGGCCAAACACATAATAATAAGGGAGAAAATTGATTCTGAAGGCAATTGGCAACAAATATAAAAACAAACAGCAAGAGCTTCTACGGATATATAAGAAGAGAGTAGCTAAAGTTACTGTGATCAATTTGGACGCTATGACTGGAAAATTGATAACTGGGAACAGGAAATGGCAGACAATTTAAACCAATATTTTGCATTGGTCTTCATGTTGGAGGACACTATAAACATCCAAATATGACAGATAAGCAAGGTGGTAATGGGAAGAAAGATGTTTTATCACAAGGGACAAACTAATTGGATTACAGGCAGACAAGTTGCAGGACCTGATGGCCCACATCCAAGGGTTTTACAGGAATTGGCTGTAGAGATAATGGAGGCATTGGTTAATGCCTCTGGATTCTAGGACAGTTCCAGTGGATTGGAAAACTGCTAATGTAATGCCCCTGTTCAAGAAGGGAGGGAGACAAAAAGCAGGAACCTATTGACTAGTTGGCCTAATATCTGTCATTGGGAAATGCTAGGGTCCATTATTAAGAAAGAAATAGCAGGACAATTAGAAAAGCTTAATACAATCAAACAGAATTAACATGATTTGTGAAGGGAAATCAGGTTTGACAAATTTACTAGAGACCTTTGAGGATTTTACAAGCAGTGCTGTTAAAGTGGAACCGATAGATGAAGATTAGAGGGCATTCAATAAGGCACTAAATAAAAGGTTTTTACACAAAGTAGCAGCTCATGTTACTGGGGGTAATATATTCACATGGATTGAGGAATGGAAAACACACAGAAAACTGAGAGTCAGGACGAATGGCTTTTTTTTTCAGGTTAGAGAGATACAACCAGTGGAGATCCTCAAGGATCAGTCCGAGAGTCTCAATTAGTTACCATCTATACTAATGACCTGGAGAAGGAGTCAGAGTATAATGTATCAAAACTTGCTGATAATATAAACGTTGGTTGGAGGCATGTTGTGATGAGGACAAAAGGAATGTGCAAGGGGATATAGAGAGGTTGATCATGTTGGCAAAAGAATGGCTGCACTGACCATCTGAAGTACTTGGCGTTTGCTGCAAAGATTGCTGTGAGTGCTTCAGCCTAATCTTTTGCGCTGATATGTTTGGCTCTTCCATCATTGAGAACTTGTGGAGCCGCCTCCTCCAGTGAGTTATGATAGTGTTTAATTCAATCCCTTGAGCTCGCTTTGCCATTCAATATGATCATGGCTAATCATTGAGCTCAATATCCTAATCCGAACCAGCCCCATATCTCTTGATCTCATTTGCCAAATCAGCTGTATCTACATCTTTCTTGAAAATATCTCATATTGTGGCTAAACCAATTTCTATGGTCATGAATTCACAGGCTCAGCATGTTCTGGGTGAAGAATGTTCCTATTGACTATCTGACAGTGCTGCACTCCGGCAGTACTGACCCTTGGCCAGTGCAGCACTCCCTCAGTACTGACGCTCCCATTGTGTGGCACTTCCTCAGTACTGAACCTCTGACAATGCAGCACTCTGTCAGTACTGACCCTCCAACAGTGTGGCGCTCCCTCAGTAGAAGAATAAGGGGAGATCTCGTAGAAACGGATAAAATCCTGATGGGACCGGACAGGTGGAAAGGACCTAAATGCGGAAAGAATGTTCTCGATGTTGAGGAAGTCCAGATCCGGGGGTCAGAGTCTACGAATAAAGGATAAGCCATCCAGGACTGAGATGAGGAAGAATTTCTTCACTGAGAGAGTTGTGAACCTGTGGAATTCTCTCCCACAGAAAGCTGTTGGGGCCAGTTCATTAGATATATTCAAGAGGGAGCTGGACATGGCCCTTGCGGCTAAAGGGATCAAGGGGTACGGGGAGAGGGTGGGAGTGGGATACCGAGATTGCATGATTAGCCATGATCTTATTGAATGGCGGTGCAGGCTTGAAGGGCTGAATGGCCCACTCCTGCACCTATTTTCTATGTTTCTATGTTACTATGACCCTCTGACAGTGTGGCACACCCTCAGCACTGACCCTCTGACAGTGCAGCATTCCCTCAGCACTGACCCTCTGATAGTGCGGCACTCCCTCAGCAATGACCCTCCGACAGTACGGCACTCCCTCAGCACTGACCCTCCGACAGTGCCCGCTCCCTCAGCACTGACCCTCCGACAGTGCGGCTCTCCCTCAGCAATGACCCTCCGACAGTGTGGCACTCCGTCAGTAAGAAAGAGCAGATTACGAGTGCAGTGAGTGGGGTGTGATTCAGGTCGAGGTGAGCGTTACTAACAAAGAGTACGATCGAAATGCAGTGTGACAACCTGGAAATCTGTAGCAAAGCTGCTCCGAAATGAGGGATAGCTGGGAGGAGAGTGTTCCACAACAGTTTCCGATGCCTCAGCATCCACAGGCGTCTCACCTCACGATACCAACTGTGACACAGAAACAAAGATGAGGTTTTCACACCAGCCAGTGGTTACATACTCCACAGCATCAGTCAGTGTTAAAATGCAGCAAAACCAGCAGGTAATTTGTCATAGCTTCACAAAGGGGAATGTCGTAATCACCAAATAATCTGTTTTCATGATGATCACTTACGAATGAATATTTCACAACACAAAGGGGAGGACTGCACTGCTCTTCATTATAGTGGCCCTTAGAGCTTTAACATCCACCCAACAGAGGGAAAGGTGCCTTCATTTAGAGTCTCACCCAAAGGTCTGCACCTTTGACAGTGCAAAATGCCTGCTCCCCAACAATGAATGACCTTTCCTCATTATGCCCGTCAAACACTCCCAGGACAGAGACAGCACAGGGTTAGATACAGAATAAAGCTCCCTCTACACTGTCCCCCATCGAACACTCCCAGGGCAGGGACAACATCGGGTTGGATACAGAATAAAGCTCTATCTATATTCTCCTCATCAAACATTCCCAGCATAGGGTCAGCATGGGGTAGATACATAATAAAGCTCAATCTACATTCAAACACTCCCAGGATAGGGACAACACGGGGTTAGATACAGAGTAACGCTCTATCTTCATTCTCCCCATCAAACACACTCAGGATAGGGACAGCACAGGATTTGGTACAGAATAAAGTGCTATTTGACTGACACATGAACTCAATATGATGCCCTTTAAGAGTTGGGCAGTGCTGAGAGTATGGGCTCACCTGGTGAAGGTTTTCTGCAGGAGATAATTTCTAAAGAAACGGATGTGAGTCAGTGCACGCCACAGCATCATTTCGCGCTGCCAATCCGAAAGGGACATCACCTCTGTCCCAAGTCCAGGAGAAATGGCCAAGACTCCGAACGTGGAGAATATGTAGTGCTCGGCATTCAGCTTGTGTTTGGGAACGACAATGAGATCGTACGGCCTGTATCCAACACAATAAACAATGTGAGGACTTTGACTGGAATCTGTATCGGATTGACCTACCGCCATGTCAATGGCTTCAGCAATCATTGACTGCGCCTCCTCTATCATGTCTTTCTGGTTGCTCCATCCAGTTATACGGAGGACACAGAGTCTGAATCCAGTGAGTGTGCGTGTGCTGGCTTGTTTCCCCATTAACTCAGTCCACAGCCCAGCACTCTGAACTCAATGCAACCCCAGCATCATGGCACAAGCTGGGAGTTAGTGATAAAGCTATGAATGAAAAACAGGAAGCATGGGAATTCTTTAAGGAAATCTAGTGAGGGAGGTCTTTGGAGTGAATGGGAGGGGTAACTGGATAGTAAAGGCTTCAGGAAAACTCTGTTAAGAACAGAATAATGGCAGAGCAACTTGAAAGGGCTGGCACAGGGTGTGATAGACTAATGGTCTCATTATGTGTTGAAAGCTGGTATGAAAAGCACACAATGTGAAAACACAATAAAAATTCCAACTATCATGCATCAGTTATGCCTGTGCATACTCTTAGCCTGAAAGTACCTGTATTCCTGGTTCGGTCTGATGTTTAGGTAATAAAATTTTGTTTTTCCCAAGAGGCTGTGCTTTGCCAGAACTTCCACAGCTGCTTCCCCCGTATGAGGCTCGGAAACAGGACATTCACCTTGCACTGGCTCAGACAGGTTCGTCATCAATGAGGCATCCTGTAAATCCCTGAAACATCACACACTCCCCGTGAATATAAACACTCCCCATGAGCATCGACACATTCACTGTGAATATAAACACACTCCCCATGAATACTGACACATTTCCTGTGTACACTGACACACTCCCCGTGAATACTGACACACTTCCTGTACACACTGACACACTCCCTGTGAACACTGACACACTCCCCATGAATACTGACACATTTCCTGTGCACATTGACACACTCCCCGTGAACACTGACACACTCCCCGTGAACACTGACACACTCCCCGTGAATACTGACACATTTCCTGTGCACATTGACACACTCCCTGTGAATACTGACACATTTCCTGTGCACATTGACACACTCCCCGTGAACACTGACACACTCCCCGTGAATACTGACACATTTCCTGTGCACACTGACACACTCCCCATTGTTAAGAAGGAGTAATCGACACCTCTCTGATAATTAAAATTGAACCACCCAGAGCAGTTCACCTCGCCTCATAATCTGTTAAAGGAAATGTGAAAAGTGGTATATCTGCATCTCACCTCTCAATCTGTTATAAATGAGAGGTGAAATAAAATGAACTCCTGACAGTCACTCTACAATCAACAAGTAACAACTTATTTATCTAACTCTAGCAGTTAACAAATTAACAGTACTGACAAAACTGAACAATTCCCCCTTGACTACTAACTATTCCTGAATAAAACAAATTCTAATGGTATGCTGTTCCAATAGATACAAATGCTACTTATATAAACCAAATTAATAATTAAAAAAAGCTTAATCTCTCAAAATTACAGCCAGGATAAATCTTCTGTAATGTTTTTTGCCTTCTCCGCTGTCCTCCAGTCAGGAATGCCTTCCTCTGTTGAATTTTTGTGTCAGGAATATTAGCTGAAAGTACCATAGTACCTTTATCTAGATGGTGCCTACTCTAAGGGCTTAGAGATTTCTGTGAGAGCCAGTGATTTTCTCTTTCTTTAGAGCTGATGGCTGTTGAGAGCTGTTCTCATAACTGATAGCAATTTGCTGTCATGCTGATTTTCAAATGCCCTCTTCTTTTATACCCTTGATAACCTAATCTTACAATAGGATTGGTCCGAGGTTGTCAAAACCGTCAGATTTAAATTTAGGTGGGCTTTGGTATCTAGGGCCTGATTACAATTCATTGGCTAAATTCAAAAATCTGTTTACTTGCTAAAAATGCTGCTTTGTCTGGTAACAGTATAGCCTTTTGATACAATGTTTTAATTTCAAGAACTCTATGCATCTGTTTCTGCCTGCAGATAATTTTAAATCCAAACCTTAAAAAACATAACTTTTAAAGGGACCACGCACTCTCCCCCTTACCATTTTATAAACAAATTCTAACATTTTGCCTTCCATTCCACAAGTATTATACCAACCTTGCAACACCGTGCACATAGACACACTCCCCGTGAATACTGATAGTTGTCCCGTGCACACTGACACACTCCCTGCGCACACTGACACACTCCCTATGAACACTGACATACTCCCCGTGTATACTGGCAGACTTCCTGTGAACATGTGAACATAAAAACCAGGAGCTGGAATAGGTCATTAGCCCTTCAAGCCTCTTTTGCATTTAATATAATCATGGCTGATATCATCTCATCCTCAACTCCACTTTTCTGCCCACTCAGCATAACCCTTTGACCCATCACTGGTTAAAAATATTGAATCTGAAAAATAAACACGTCAGCCATGATCTTTTTGAATGGCAAAGCAGGCTTGAAGGACTGAATGGACTACCTCTGTTCCTAATTGTATGTTCAGTTAAGAATTTTAAAGTTTTAGTTAATTGGTTAATTCAGTGTTAGTGTTTTTTTTAAATGTAAAGTTGAGCTATTGTTTAACCACAGTCATTGTAGCTGAATAAACAGGACTTTCTGTGAGTTAGGGCCAGGGGTGTGTAGAGTTTGCAATAAAATCACATTTATGGAGGGTAGAATGGGGGTTTGGCAGGAGGGTATAATGATTGTAACAAGGTTAGCCAGTTGAACATCATAGAGCATAAGTGCCCTGATTGGACCAGATTAACAGCCCCAGTTAGGGAGCACTGGCTAACAGATAAAAAAGGGCGTGTCAGAGATACTGACACTCTGGTACCTCACTCTGAATGGGGCAGTACTAAAGTCAAGGACTGGTCAGGTGCAAACAAAGAGTGACTTGGTGACAGGATACTGGCCTCTGTGGAGTTATTTCAGAGTGCAGTGGAACTGTCAAGGGGAGAGGGGAGGATGCGTGTTTCAGCAGATGTTGAGCATGTTGAGCATGTTGATATTGAGACATAGTACAGGAGCAGACAAGAATTACCTCTCTGTTTTCTCGGTGTGTGTTTGAGTCAGGCCATAATCTCCAGTCAGATTAACCTTGAATGCCTTTGACATGAGACCCAGCTTCGTTTGCCATGCAGCTTCTATCTGCGTAGCACTGGCCCCGATAATAGCGACAGATTCATGGAGATCACCAAATGACAGCAGCTTCTGCCCATCGAGGTCCTGCAAGCTTTGTGCCAGGGTGTAGGTGCTGTGACAAGTGGCCATGTGGGGTATTCGGGTGGGTGTCACAGCCTCCTCTGGAAGGGGGGGCAGGTGAGTTGGAGTAATTCTGCGACCTCTGCCAGGCTTCCTGCTCTTTTCGTACAAAGGGGAAGGGTCCCTGGGGAAAGCTTTAGCCATTGCCCCCAGAATGTTGATGCCAGCGAGTTTAGAGCGGTTCATCTGGTAGTGATAATAGATACTTTCGAGGTGACGGAGCAGCTGGGGTTCGCCACGTAGATATTCACGGTACGGTGCAGTCAGGTGTAAAACCTCATACAGGTATTGCCACGAGCTCCTCTTGTTGGTCTGCATCACAGTGATGAAGGTATTTATCAGTTCAGTGACTAAAAGGTCGATGTCTGTGCCATCAGGTTTCCTGTTCCCTTGGATTCTGCTACTCAGCCGCTGCCGAATGCTCAGGGCCCAGATCGAGGCTCGATTACTGGGGTCTTGACCGTCCACAGCAGCTGAAAGAGAGAGTAACGTTACTCTGCATCATAAAACCCAGCTCGTCATAAAAGCCAGCTCGTCATAAAACCCAGCTCGTCATAAAACCCAGCTCATTATAAAACTCAGCTCGTCATAAAACTCAGCTCGTCATAAAACCCAGCTCGTCATAAAACCCAGTTCATTATAAAACCCAGCTCGTCATAAAACCCAGCTCATTATAAAACGAGCTCATCGAGAACCCAGCTCATCGAGAACCCAGCTAGGGGCACGATGGCCTAGTGGAATTATTGCTAGACTATTAATCCAGAAACTCAGCAAATGTTCTAGGGACCCAGGTTTGAATCCTGCAATGGCAGATAGTGGAATTTGAATGCAATAAAAAAATCTGGAATGAAAAATCTACTGATGGCCATGGAATTATCGTTGATTGTTGGGAAAATCCATCAGGTTCACTAATGTCATTCAGGGAAGGAAATCTGCCACCCTCACCTGGTCTGGCCTACATGTGATCCAGACCCACAGCAATGTGGTTGACTCTCAGTTGCCCTCTGAAATGGCCTAGCAAGCCACTCAGTTGTACCAATCACTACAAAGCCTCAAAGAAATAAAACTGGACGGATCACCTGGCATTGACCTAGGCACCGGAAAAGACAACAGTAGAAACAGCCCTGTCGACCCTGCAAAGTCCTCCTCACTAACATCTGGGGGTTAGTGCCAACATTGGGAGAGCTGTCTCACAGACTAGTCAAGCAACTGCCTGACATAGTCATACTCTCAGAATCATACCTTTCAGACAATGACCCAGACACCACCATCACCATCCCTGGATATGTCCTGTCCCATCGGCAGGACAGACCCAGCAGAGGGGGCGACACAGTGGTATACAGTCAGGAGGGTGTTGCTCTGGGAGTCCTCAACATTGACTCTGGACTCCATGAAGTCTCATGGCTTCAGGTTAAACATGTGCAAGGAAACCTCCTGCTGATTACCATATACCATCCTCCCTCAGCTGATGAATCGGTACTTCTCCATGTTGGACAGCATTTGGAGGAAGCACTGAGGATCACAAGGTCACAAAATGTACTCTGGATGGGGATTTCAATGTCCACCACCAAGAGTGGCTCGGCAGCAGTACTACTGATCGAGCTGGTTGGGTCCTAAAGGACATAGCTGCTACACTGGGTCTGCAGCAGGTGGTGAGGGAACCAACAAGAGGGAAAAACATACTTAACCTCATCCTTACCAACAGTATCGGTAAAAGTGACCACTGCACAGTCCTTGAGGAGCTGAAGTCCTGCCTTCACATTAAGATTAATCTCCATCATGTTGTGTAGCACTATCACCGTGCTCAATGGGACAGACTTCAAACAGATCCAGCACCTCATGTGACACTGTGGGCCATCGACAGCAGCAGAATTGTGCTCTAGCACAATCTGTAACCCCATGGCCCGGCATATCCCCCACTCAACCATTACCATCAAGCCAGGGGATCAACCCTGGTTCAATGGAGAGTTCAGGAGGGCATGCCAGGAGCAGCACCAGGCATACCCAAAGATGAGTGGTCAACCTGGAGAAGCCAAACAGGACTACTTACATGCCAAACAGCATAAGCAGCAAGTGATCGACAGAGCTAAGTGATCCCACAACCAACCAGATCTAAGCTCTGAAGTCTTGCCATATCCAGACATTAATGGTGGTGGACAATTAAACAACTCACTGGAGGAGAAGTGCCAAGTGGAAGACCCATCTCGACCTCCTCCAGTGGTGCCCAGCACTGCAGATAACAGTCTTCAGCCAATTCGATTCACTCCACGTGGCAACAGGAACCGTTGGAGACACTGGATATTGCAAAGGCTATGGGCTCTGACAACTTTCTGGCAGTAGTACTGAAGACTTGTGCTCCAGAACTTGCCGCTCCCCTAGCCAAGCTGTTCCAGTACAGTTACAACACTGGCATCTAACCAACAGTGTGGAAAATTGCCCAGGTACGTCCTGTAAATAAAAAGCAGGACCAACTCAACCCAACCAGTTACTGTCCTACCTGTCTCCTCTCGATCATCAGTAAAGTGATGAGAGGTGTCATTGACAGTGCTATCAAGCAGCACCTGCTCAGCAATAACCTGCTCAGTGATGCCCAGTTTGGGTTCAGCCAGGGCCACTCAGCTCCTGACCTCATTACAGCCTTGGTTCAAACATGGACAAAAGAGTTTAATTCCAGAGGTGAGGTGAGAGTGACAGCCCTTGACATCAAGGCTGTATTCGACCGAGTGTAGCATCAAGGAGCTCTAGCAAAACTGGAATCAATGGGTATCAGGGGCAAACATGCCAGTGGTTGCAGTCATACCTGACATATAGGAAGGTGGTTGTGGTTATTGGAGGTCAGTCATCTCAGTTCCAGGACATCGCTGCAGGAGTTCTTCAGGGTAGTGTCCTTGGCTCAACCATCTTCAGCTGCTTCATCAATAACCTTCCCTCCATCATAAGGTCAGCAGTGGAGATTTTCACCGATGATTGCACAACGTTCAGCACCATTCACAACTCTTCAGATACTGAAGCAGTCCGTGTTCAAATGCAACACGATCTGGACAATATTCAGGCTTGGGCTGACAAGTGGCCAGTAACGTTCACGCCACACAAATGCCAGGCTATGACCTATTACTGATGATTGAGAGTAGGCTGATGGGGCGGTAATTGGCTGGGTTGGATTTGTCCTGCTTTTTGTGTACAGGACATACTTGGGCAATTCTCCTCATTGCCGGGTAGCATATAGTAGCTTGTTGGACACTTTGGTCAGGGAGTGACTGAGGTTGTGGGCATCTGTTCAATTTATTTTACTCAAGGCCCAATCTTTCCACTCTCTCCACCTTTCAACTTACTGCATGTGCCCCATTGAAATCACAGACTCAGCTGGGCCCTCCCAATTCCCTGACCTCCCACCATGAACCTGGAAGTGACAGGGCATTTTGCTGTACTAGGAATTCTCCGTCCTCCCCATGCCTGTTCTGAGGACAGACAAACCAATGTTTGGTAGTGTCTGAATGTATCCCTCCTGAAAGCTGAAGGATTTACTGGTGTTGGAAACCTCAGATTTCCTGTACCTTGTTCCATATTTGCTCCAGGATTTCCCTGGGCTACACTGAATGGTCACTTGGAAGGGACTCACACCAAGAAGCACCAGCCCTACCTGAGGTTTAGGAAAGCAGAACCCAAAAATGTTCCTGAAACATCCCCCGTTGACTTGATTGAGGGCTACATCCCACAGAGTTTGAGAAATGCTCATTTGGTGGAAGTAGCTGCAGAGTGTTTGCTGTGACATATGGTGCAGGTGTGAGAGTGCTGGAACTATTGAGGGTCATTGTTGGGTCTTCTTTGGCCTGTGCTACTACCTTGTGCTCCTTTTGGAGTCTGTATCTATACAGGAGAGCGGGAGCGGGACAAGAGGAGCAGCCACAGGGGTAAGGAGAACGTGAAAACTAAACAGAAATTGGGCACTTTCTCACCATTTGTGCTCTTGGAATCACAGGTTGTCTCTGTCCTGCATTTGCTCCTGACACACTCACTACAAATTTGCAGCAAACCCATGTGGATTGTCAAAGCCTGGTGTATCATATACACACACTCCACAAACCACATTCTGGCCTTGGACCATCTGTTAGATGCACCTGAATTAAGTCACAGCTCATTTTCCACCTAAACATCATTTCTCTGCAGCATTGCAAAACTGTTTGATGGTGATTAATATCAAGAAATTTACTGATCTCTGTCTTGAACTGCCCACTGGGGTAAAGAGAAAATTCCAAAGATTCACCACCCTTCATTTCGGTCTTAAACTGCCTGCTTCTTATCATGACATTATGTTTCTGGTTCTAGACCCCACAGACAGGAAAGCATCCCTTCTCCATCCCTTTAAGGATTTTAGAAGTTTCAATGAGATTCCTTCTCATTTTTCTAAACTCTTGGGAATACATACCCAGCTGAACCAATCTCATACACCTGTATCAGCCTGGTGAACCTCCGCTGGATTCCCCCTATGGTCACCATACCCTTTCTTGGGTAGGGAGACTAAAACCACAGGCAATTCTCTAGGCGTGGTCTCACCAAGGCCCTGTATCATAGAATCACAGAATCCCTACAGTAGGGAAGCAGGCTTTTTGGCCCATCGAGTCTACACTGATCTTCCTAAGAGCATACCACCCAGACCAACCCAGTTACCCTATCCCTGTAACCCTGCATTTCCCATGGTTAATCCAACCAGCCTGCACATTCCTGGATACTATGGCCAATCTAGCATGGAAAATCCACCTAATCTGGATTGCGGGAGGAGACCGGACGACCCAGAGGAAACCCACGCAGAAACAGGGAGAATGTGCAAACTCCACACAGACTGCTGCCTGAGGGTGGAACCGAACCCAGGTCCCTGGCACTGTGAGGCTGTATAACTGCAGTAAGCCATTATAGACTTATAGATATTTATAGTCCATAAAGAGACCATTCGGCCCATTGTTTTCACCCTGGTCAACATAGATCTTCCTACACTTATCCCAATACTCCAGCCCTAGGCCTATAACTCTAAGGCCAGCGGCAATGCAAATGAAAACCTAAATATTGCTTCAATGTTCCAAGAGCTTCTGACTTGACCATCCTTTTGGGCAGTGAATTCCAGAGTCCCGCCACCCTCTGAATGAAAAAGTTTCCCCCCAACTCCCCTCATAACCTTCTACCTCTTACTTTAAATCTATGGCCAATGTATCCTTATGTTGAAATCCTCTGCCATGGAGGCAAACATAACTATTGGCCTTTCCAATAACTCGCTGTACCATCGTTTCAGCTTTCAGCGACTCATGAATAAAGACACCTGCTCTTTGGGAATCAATATTCCCAGATGTCTCAGCATTTTATGAATAGTCTCCATTTCTGCCTTCCCTAACAAAGTACCAAACTTCACATTTACCACATTATAGTCCATGTGCCATGGTCTTACCCACTCACTCAGCCTGTCCAAATCCCCATGAAGCCT